GCATAATAATATATGTTAAATAACAAACATATGCACACAAAAATGTAAAGTTCGTTTTTTGTGATGAAGGTCCTGGCTCTTCTGAAATTCGTGTTTTTTTTGCGATAAGTCGTGTAGTTTCATTTGTCGCTTTCTTTTTCTTTCCTTAAGCAAATGTCGGTAGCAAGAAATCGCATCCAAAACGCCTCGTTTTGCTTTTGCACTCATTTCAAAATCTGGCTCATTCGCTACAGTTTGATCAACGATTTCGGTTATCGTTACCAAAATTTTTACTAAGGAAATCTGTAGAGAAATTTTTTGGGTTCTTTGTTTCAGAATCACTATTTTCCAGTTCTACATGAATTTCTTGTTCTGCCAGTTCTTGAAGGTCGTCGTTTGTAAGGCTCTCACCAGAAACCTGCAGTAACTCCTTAATATCCTGCTCGTCTACATCTAGTCCTGCTGTATCGATTAGGTTGACTATTTGATCAACCTAACGATACATTGATGGACTCTACTCGTTGAGAATTTTTGGATACTTTCAGCCATAACTTCTTCCACACTTCATTCATGCATTTATCAGTTCATTCTTGCCAAGAGAAGCCGTTATTGCCTATGGAATCCATGATGTTATATTTTATCCAAAATTGCGCCAAACAAACAGATTTAAAGAAAGTACAGCGCTACGACAAATTGCTACCTTTTGCTGATTGGTTCGTGTTTGGGAGTAATCAATGAAATGCCGCGATAATTTGAATCAGCTTAAATTTTGAGCTTTTTTAAAGCTTCGAGCAGTCCGCATTATATCGAATTAGCGTTAATCGAGGCACCGTTAAGCGTGGTCTTACTGTATATTCATATTCTAACAGTACACAAAATATTTGTTTCGATCTGTATATAACTTATTAAAATTAAAATTAACTGATCTGTTGCAAATTATTAGAGGTTCATTAATGTTTAAAGTACTGAAGTACTATGTATGGAACTAGAACTTGAAATTTTTCTTTCGTCTTCTCTACTTATATATTGATAATCGATTAAGATATTTCTTGTATTATTTCCTATATTGTCAACATTCAATTTCAGATACAATAAGGAATAACCGGACATCTTTAAAATGTCATCCCAGTCAGAGAACCAATTACTGTACTCTTCTTATTCTTTATTTCCTTCAATAATATATATGCACCATACTCCAAAGTCTGATGGATGTAACAAAATCTTTTTATCAAATAATAAGCAATACTTTAAAATTCTGAATCATAAATTAGATCACATATATTAAGATCAGATAAGTTATAATCACAGTTCTATCACATATAATAAAGATCTATCTAGGTCAAACTTTTTTTATAACATCGAACGTAACTGAGGTGACCAATTACAGTCGACCCCCCTATAACACGGGTTCCTATAGTTCGGATTCCTACATCACGGCGAAAAAATTGCGACAGTATTCGTACAAACATGCTAAAAAAAACTCATATAATTCGGTAAAACGTCATCGCCGACTCGTGTCGCGACAGGATTGCACAAACCGTTGAGTTTAAACGAGCAGCGGACCTACCAAAAACCATTTATTATTTAACGTCCATAAAAATTATATTTATATTAATGATGTCTCTAAAGTTCAGCTAATTTTTCGCAAAAAAAAAATAATTTATCAGGAAGCACGCGAGCGCCATTCGATGACAACCTCCACGACGAAAACAAGCTTAAGCAACGGCGTAGTCGAACTGTGCACACTCGGTAGGTAATCCTACAATTTTTTGTTTATAGCATAGTTTATATGGATTATTCCTGAGAAATTATATGTGTTTTGGAAATGTTGAGTCAAATTAGTCTAGAATCGATTAATTTTATGGAAGAAACCTTTCAAACAGCCGTAGCCGTGAACTGCATACGTGCCGGGATGTGATTGGATGGACTCCTAGAAGCTGGATTCATAAAAACAGAAACGTATCTACCGTATTATAGGGGGGTCGACTGTAATTTGCAAAACACCCGCAATTGAATACCTACGTCAACACGGAGTTTACCAAAGTACTGTATTACATAATTTTTTATGCAGCTTAATATTAGAATTCTTAATTGAATTGGATATTCTTACCACATTGCCAGGTCTGACTAGGAGTTTCTTTTTAATTTTTGTCTACGGTCATCAAATGATAATGAAGAGAGAACATGTACAGGTAACCCCCGTATAACACGGCACTTCTATAGCACGGATTCGCTCTAACACGGTTCGAGAATTGGTACCATCCCCCGTATAACACGGTACTTTTATAGCACGGATTCACTCTGACACGGTTCGAGAATTGGGTAAAACCCTCGTACAACAGGAAATGTAATAAATTTTTACATACTTAAGTAATAATAGTTCACGAAAATTATTATTTTCGTGAACTATTAGTACTTAAGTATGTAAATTTTCTCTTCTCGCCTTCTGTCGATACACGTGGTCCTTCTCGAAACTTGTTTCAATGTTGCCAGATCGCGACGCTTCTGCTTCTGATGTTGCCAAATGTTTTCCCTTTATTCCATACTTGCTTTATTCTTCATAAGTGCTTAGCACCATATAAGGAAATTTATAAAGATCTTTTAACTAGAAGCAAGAAATCTAAAATTATACACTTATTGCAAAAGGTAAAGCATGGATCTGAAAATAATGCAGAAAAATGCTCAGAGGATAAGGATAACTTGCCAAAAAGAAAATGCTCTCGGTTAATTAGTAGTGTTTTTAGTGATGACGAAGAAAACATTGTTTAATATGTATCACTTAAAAAATTTTAATGAAGATATCTTAATTATGAAAATATACTAGCATGTTTTTTAATTTTTAGAACCTAACCCTTTTTTTCGTATTAGTTCTTTGTTTCGTATAACACGGGTTCGCATAACACGGCAATTTTTTGGAACGTAACTACCGTGTTATACGGGGGTTAACAGGTTTCGCAGGAATTCCTCGGATGAAAAAGTTACTAATTCACCCGGCGAGCCAATTCCCGGACTGTCCGGACGACAGCACTATCGTCGGCGCGATACAAGTATGGATTAGGATGTTTCAAATTTTTACAAGATATTATTATTATTTATTGTGAAATTTTGTCGCCCCCTAAAAAGTGCTGCCCGGGGCGGGCCGCCCCTGCCGCCCCCACTACGGTACGCTACTGGCTTACACTGTGTATAACTGAAACCTTTGTTTTCAATTTGGCTCTCATAAAAGAAAACCTGTAAGAACTTGAAATACTTTCAGAAAGTTTGCAGTTAGAAGACTCTTACAACAGTTAAATCTGATTAATGGTTGAAACAGACTGTTAATATTTTAAAAAAATACAGAGTAACTAAGCGGAACTATTGAGCTTCAAGTATTCTGCAGTTAGTTCAGAAAATGTAAAATTTGGGTCATTTAAATAAATTCCATTAAACACTAGAAGAAATCAACACAAAGCAGTATTACCAATTTTGAATTGATAATCTGATAAAACGGTTTCCAGAAATTGAATTGAGTTGAAATGGGCAAAGCCATTGTATAATGAATAATGGCCAAAAGATAATCTTGTCCTATATAGGGAAGAAAATGTTTTAAAATTAGCTAAGAGTCAGCTTGGACCAGCCCAGCTTAGAGACCGGAAGGATAATGTTAATTAAAGTATGTGGCTAGATGCTAAAATAGTTGAAAACAGGTTCAAACATTGCCAGTGAGCAAAGTGGAAAAGAGGTTCCATAAGATGAATTTAATTCTTACAGAATTTCAAAATAGATTACTCATTGAAAATATTGATGCATGCATGTTTAAATCATTAAATAAGCCACTTAAAAATGAAATGCAATACCATATGTAAAAGCATAGCCAAAATCTGGAAATCGTTTGGCGATTGACTGGTAGTCTGGCCCATTTTTTTTTTTAACTCTTTCTGCCCTGTGGGCACTAAGAGGGCCTCTTTTGCAAGCCCATTATGGGTTCGGCCAGGCCCATAATGGGGCTGCCGGATGGTGAGGGACGGGGCCCGACATATCCGAACGGACCACCCCCGAAAAATTTCTGGGGATTTTTTTCGACCCGTTCGGATTCGAACCCAGGTCCCCCAGAGCGGTAGGCTGCCACCTTGACCGCTCGGCCATCCGGCCACAGTCTGGCCCGTTAAGAAAACTATCACTACATGCACAAGAAAATAATCTTTAAAATAAAACGTTTCCGTTTTATTTTCTGCTTTTGTAAACTTGTTTTTATCAAAGTGACAACCTACTCCTCTGGGGGACCCGGAATCGAATCCGGACGGGTCGAAAAATTTCCAGAATTTTTCGGGGGTAGTCCGTCCGGATATGCCGGACCCCGTCCCTCACCACCCAGCCGTCTCATTGTGGGTCTGGCCGAACTCATAATGGGTTTGCTAAAAGGGCCCTCTTAGTGCCCAAAGGGCGGAAAGAGTTAATAATAAAAAAAGCTATTAAAATAAAAAAAATTACATAAGTTTCAACCATTATTAAATTTGAAACTGATTTCATTACAAGTGCTTAAAAGAAGTTGGAATTTTTTTTGCCTTAATAATCTAATTCCAACCCTGAATTTCTACTCTTGCATTTATGACGTGTTTTCATTGCCTTGATTACTGTTTGCTTGCCAAAACACTTTGTGCACATCAATGGTACTTTCGCATTTGAAATTTTTGTATTACATTACATTTACACTTCAATAACTTTTTCAGAGATGCATCTGATTTCAGCAACAGATTAATTTTACAGTCTTTCGGAAAGACCAAGTTTGGTTTGGCCGCCTTTGTCCCCGTGACAATATTCTTCCCTTGAAACACACATTTATGTGAAACGCATATTTACGAAATATTTAAAATTATACATTTAATTATAATTATATATCGTTGTTTATGTTTATATTTATTTTTTTATTTAAAATATTAATACAATTTATCTTCATAAAGTTATGACGTAATTCCGTTAGTCATATTTCAAAAACATCATTTCCGTTGAGTCACTTTTACTCACCAGAGTTCGTAAAATCATGCACAGGGATTTGGAGTTGAGTTTGAGTCGCCATGTTGTTTTGTTGTTGCTAGCGGTTATATTAAGAAAACGGAGGAAATTGGACAGAGACCGGTCGAGGAAGTGCGGATATCCTTGCCGTAATCATGTATCCTGTAGGACAACGTATGTATTAATTTATAACTATCAGCTCCTTAAGGAAATGCATATCATATATACATATGACGGTTAGGCCTAACTTAATTTTTGTGATAATATATCAAGACTAAATTTGTTTTTAACTTTGTTTTTCTAACAGAACGATTTCTGTTTCTCTCGCTTCGATCAAATAGGATGTTGCTTTAAATAGAATAAAGCAATTATAGTTCAATTAGATGTTTATCCTATGTGCGTACTTTCAACCATTCATTCATTTGATGGAGCATTTTTCTAGTAATTAAATCGATCAATTATTAAATTTTACATTTTAAATCCTGATAAGTAAATTCGTGTAAGTGATGAATTTAATGTTAAAATTATATGATTCAAGAATAAAATTTTTTGCAGTTTTCATTAATAATAATAAAATAATTTCAATTTATTCAGTTTTTTGAAAGAAATAATGCATTTAATTCTGATTTTAATTTGTTAGAAAGAAAGCGTGTATTTGACTCTTAAGATAATTTATTTAATTTTTTTTCTAATGAAAAATATTTGTAATTTACTTTATAATTTTTTTAACTTTTTAACACTGAAAACAATTTACAAATCATAGGCTATTTGTAAAATAATCCATAAAATTGCTATTTGGTACTTAATTGAATAAAATATTTGGTAACAGAAACTTTTAGTAAGTCAATAGGCTAAATTTTTACATTGTGTATCTATTATTAAAGTTCTATATAAAAGTTAAAGTTATGAATAATATAATAAGTTATATAAAATAACCTGCTGTTTCTCAACCTAAATGCATTAATAGCGATTTGTGTGAGCAGTAGGTGTTCTTGGAAATAATTGTATTTTTCAATATTATTTTTAATATTAGAATGTTATGAATATATTTATAAAATCATATAAAAAACACTTTGATTTAATTAATAAAAATTTAGAACTAAACCATAATCTTTTATGTAAACAAATGGTCAATATTTTCTTAATGAGTGGGAGTTAAAGAAGGTGTCTAGAATATTAAGTAATTCTTAGGTTTTTCACTTCCAAATAAAATAATGATTTGAAGATCAAGTTTTTTTTTACTTAAATAAGTTTAACAAACAGATTTTGATATTTTAAAATAAATCATTCAATTTTAATATCAAAACATTATTTTTCAGCTTAAAAAATTTTCTCTGGCAGAATAAGCCCATTTGAAATCTTTTGTATTACATTAATAAAATAGGAGATTTTATGACTGTTCATATCCTAAATATTTTTTGATTCCTTTGATGACCTGTGTTAGATGTCTAAGACCCACAATTTATTGAATATATAACAAAATATTGATTCAGAATACAAAATTTTGTTTAAAATGGAAGGTAAGTTGTTTATATTGTTTATAAACAGTAATAAATTTGTTAATATCTTACTAACTTACCACCAAATAAAACCAAACCAAATTTTTTATTTTAATAATATAATCTATTTTGATTTATTTTTATTCTTAACATTTCTTTACTTTTCTATTCCATTTTATTTTTATCAGTTTATTCTATAAAATTATATAAGAATCCCAAACAATCTGCCATATTATATTGGGCTATATTATGGTTACATTTAGTAATTACAAAATTTTGTAATGTAGGTGATTAAATCATTAACTATTAAATATTAATTTATTTATAAATATTAAATTTATTAAAGCCAAACAATTGCCAGATTATATTAGGCTATAATCCAGCAATCATTTAGCTTTAATATATAACTGTTGGGTTTAAGTTGTTGATATTTGTATTAAGTTTACAGTAGACCCCTATAACACGGTAGATATGTTCTGTGTTATATGAATTCCGTGTTGTATGAGTCACTTAAATACATGAGCCAATCATAGCCCGGCACGTGTGCAGTTTAGGGACTACGGCTGTTTGAAAGGTTTTCTTCCATAAAATTAACCAATTGTAGACTAATTTGACTCAACATTTCCAAAACACATATAATTTCTCAGGAATAATCCATATAAACTATGCTATAAACAAAAAATTGTAGGATTATTTACTGAGTATGCATCGTTCGACAACGCCATTGCTTAAGCTTGTTTTCATTGCAGAACGGCTCATTGAATGGTGGGTGCGTGTTTTCTGATAAGTTATTTTTCTGCGAAAAATTCGCTGAACTTTAGAGCCATCATTAATAAAAATATTTTTCTGGCTGTTGAATAATAATTGTTTTTTAGTAGGTCCAGTGCTCGTTTAAACTCAACAGTTTGTGCAATATCTGCTATTGGTCCAGTTCAACCAATCCTGTCACGACACGAGTCGGTAATGACGTTTTATCATGTTATACGAGTCTCTTTTAGTGTGATATACGAACACGATCACAATTTTTTCGTCGTGTTATACAAATCTATGTTATATGAACTCATGTTATAGGGGGTCTACTGTATTACACAGTGGCAACTTAATTGTCTACCTCTAGGCAAAACTATATCTAATTATTAAATGTATCCATAATATAGCCTGATATAATCTGACAGATCATTTGGCACTAATCAAGAATCAGGTTATTCAATGTTTATATTTGTTTTTATAAGAATCATCACCAAACCAAATCAAAACAATAAAAATGTTGTAACAAATTATCTTACAATATTATAATGTTCACTATGTAAATATTCATTTGCATTAAGCAATATAGCATAGACAAATAAATACACAAATAAAGAAACTAGAGATTCAAAAATCACTGAAATGTATTTTTGAATCTTTAATCTTAGGTTTTGCAATTACAATAAATAAGATATAGGGTAAACAGTAGTTATTGGCCACTTAAGGAAATTTTTATTTAAAAATTCAATTTATTTAATGTGTTATTAAACATTTTATGTCATAACAGAAAGATTAAATCAGGAAATATTATATACTTACTGATGCATTTAATTTTTATATCGTTTTTGCTATAATCATCTAGAAATTACAAACTATAACTGTTTAATCCAAAATGTACCTTGTTTTATGAAAATGCAAAATTGTGTCGTTATTGGCCACATGTAACAACAGAAAAACCTCAGATATTTTTGCTATCTACTGACAGCAGAAACTTGTATCAATACTGCTATGCAATATTATCAGAATAGCTTTTATAGCATTTTTCTTAAAAAGTTTTATATTTGAAATGGGCAAATAACCGTACTATTTACTCTAAAACAGCAAATAATCACATTAAATATCATTAAAAAGTATTTTAAACTATAATTTATAGTAATTAACAGTAACAATTTACTAAAAAGAATGTAAAATTATTTTTTTATAGAAAAATAAACAAAATTCAGTTTAAAATTTTATCCTTAGTTTTAGTTAGAAATAGCATTTAAAGATATGTCTTCGTAAGACTAATAATTGAATTTTTTTTAATATAAAAAGAGGAATATTGTCATATTTGGATTAAGAAAAAATTTTATTAATTAATTAATATAGGCCTAGATTATCCATCTGTCATAACTAAAAAATCCTTTTTTTTAATATTTATGTTCAGTTTATTGTAATATTAAAATGTTTTATCATTTCATATAAATTATCATTAAATCCTTTGAGAGAATAATAATCACTTGAAAATTGCATAAGGAGAAAGTGCATTCTACAAAATATTACATAAACAAAATAATGTTTTCACTTTCTTCACTGCTTTTGATATGAAAGTCTTATTTACTTCTTCTGCAGATATAATTTCTAGTAATTTAAGTATAATTTACTTTGGGTTGAATATATTTTCCATAAAGAAAAATATATTCAACCCCAAGTAAATTATACTTATCTATAAAAATCAAACATTACTGAAAATATTGATTATTGTTTTAAGTCTTGTTGAAAACCCATGCTTAAATTTAAAACAATTGTAATACCTTAATTTCTGTTAAGCATTTAGTCAATCAGTATTTGAGATACAAAGTATATTTTAATTAATTAATGTTGACAATTTAGAAAAATTTAAATAAAAACTGAAAATTGCTGATTTTTTTTAATTATTTAATTTTACATCCTATTAATGGTATTGTATTTTGCATATATTTTGGTATTACTGTGGAAAATTTAGATTCACTGTGAAAAAACAAATTTTTGTATCTTAACATGAGATTATGTAGTTTTCAGTTTTCTGGGAAGAAAACCCTCTTTTATAACATGCAGTACTTTTGTATATTTGGTTGTTAGGAATGCAGTGTGTCCAAAAGTTGGGGTCTGTTTGTATATTTTTGCACCTCATAACATGTTGAACTTGCAATCATTAAATTAATACAAAAAATGCTTTTTTTTTTTAACAGTGTTTCTTATCCTTTTTTGAGTTATGACCTCCTATAATAACCAAGAAACTTGCAACTCCATGCCATATTTGTTTAAAAAAAGAATTTTCAGTAGGGTAAAGAAAACATATTTAAAAATAAGTTTTTTAAAATATAAAATTTAATATTTAATGAAATGTTGTACTTTCATATGGGCAACCAGTTTCAAAATTTGCAGCTGAGTATTAAAGTTAATTTCATATTATCTGAGCATTCAGTCTGTTTTTGCCTTGTCTGTTCTGATATGAAAAAGTGTTGAAAACCCATTCTTTCAAAGATATGCAAAGGCAAATGGAAGTAAAACTTGAAAGGCAAGCATGGCAACATTTGGATATGACTACTAGTGATAATCACAAATAGAATATTCCAACATAGTCATATTTAAATAAATAAGTGTGGAATGTTGTAGAATACAGACATCACCAAGAATACTGAAAACGTTCATGGTGATGTGTGTATGACTGAGGCATTTAAGACATTAGCTTATATTTTTTGAGGATACAGGATTGAATCTGGGCAAGCAGATGCTCAAGAAGTTCTTGTTAATGGTCCATTATGAATATATTTGGCTCCATCTTTTACCATCTGGCCATCTGGCTAAACCTAGAGAAAATTAGGCTCTCTTAGTGCCATAAGATGAAGAGTCAAAAAAGAAAAAAAGGTGAAATTTCCTATGAAAATAATTTCAACTAAAGATACC